TACTATATATATATATATATATATATATATATAATACTTTATACTGAATTCGATAAAAACGGGGGAGGCCGCGTTATTCGTCGAGTATGGCGAATAATTTGGCGATGGGGATGATTGGCATTATGTCGATTTATCAAGTTCCACGAGTATAATATTCCAAGAATAAAATATAATAATATAATAATAATAATATATAATATAATAATAATAATATATCGGGATACGATTTATCAATTATCGAATTTCTAAATCAAAATTTCGGACAAAACGCCCAAATGTGAATAGTAGGTGAAAATAAAGAGACCAATTATACGTATTGCGGCGTACATGCATATTGAATCGCATTATCGAGTCGAACAAAAGGAGAACCAGTTACGAAATTAATATTTGATCTAGTAATCTACTGGAGGTATCGATCGAATTAATTATAATATCAATATTCGGAATATAATATACAGAAATAATGGAGAGAGAGAGAGAGAAAGAGGGAGAGAACGAATTATTTATCTCTTTCTAATTTAAAAGTCTCGTCGAGGATATCGACATTCATTTCGATGCATATTCGATGGAATATTCATCGATAGTATTTTGAATATTGGAGCGTGATTAAATGGAACGATATTTTAATTATTTATTATTTTTCGTTTAATCTTTACATAAATTTTAAACGACACAAGAATAATTAATACGACTCCTCTTTACGTTCTTCGCATTCCTACTTATAAAACGAACTGTCACTTCCTTACAAATTCAATTTTCAACGAATTCCACTTATATACGACGAATATCGCTCGATTATTTCTTCTATAGTTGATACAACCATCTGAAATCCTGTCGTGCGTAACGTGCCGCGTCGATTTCGTATAAAGGAAGATGTCACGTGAAGTCTGGAACGGGGAAACCTGTTGCGGAACAATGTCTATTACGCGTGGCGCGGCCGAATGGTTTTCAACCCGCGTGCGAGATCCGCATGAAAATTCATGTTCGCGTCGAATCGGCGGTTTTAATTGAATCGAAGCGTTCGTACTTGATAACGTGACGAGATATCCACCGCCACGATGGGTGGATAATCGAGTGAGGCGCGTCAGATCGAAAGATCGAAGTCTATCGCACGACGGCTTTCGAAATCAGAGATATCGGGATGACGTCGACAGGCGGACATCTTGGACAGGGAGGGAAACCACTTTGAAAAACTTTTCCTCGCGCGAAATTGAAATTAACCTCTATCTAGATTTAATATCTTGGTAAATTGAATTTCATATTTCTTTCTTCCTGTTATTTTTTTAATCCTTGGGAATTTCGTAGGGGAAAAAAAAAAAAAAAAAAATTAGAAAGCGCGTTCGCTCAACGAAGATCCTTAATACTCGTGCCTCTCGTTTGCAAACAGACCGATAAAATACTCGAAATCCTTGAAATCTCTTCTTTATCGCGATTTAGGTTCGATAATCCCGCATTAATCTGGACGGTTGTAACGTTTGAAAGGGATCGAGGAAACCGATCAATGGACAAGCGTTTTAGATGTAAAGCTCGAAGCGTGAAATATACCCCAAGATTGAACCGTGCACGGATCCCGTGAGGGATCGTGCGCCTCTAATCCAGCCGGCCGATCTAAAAAGGTGATTTTTCAGGATTAAGAGTCGCGCGGCCAATCGGTGTTGCGCATCCCTCCACCCACCCTTTCCACGGTTTTTACGTTCCAACCCTTCGATCGGATGCATCTCTGCCGTTCCATAGCTTCCAATTGATTAACCGATATCTAAACTTGCAAACATCGAATTTTGAACGCGATCTTCCGGTTGAAATCGTCCCGAATCAAACTTGGGCCAATAATTGGGCCAAAGAAGGAAATTTCGATCCGTTGCTTCGCGAGATGCGACGATGTTATCGCCCATACACACGGCAGAGACATTTCTTAGCTCTTCTATTTTTTTTTTTTTTTAAGAAGGGAAAAGAAAGGAAGAATCGTTGATGGCGTTCACGTCACGGTTTTCGAATTCAATTCACGTTTTCAAATTCCATCGAGGCTGCTCATCTCGGTCGGTCGGCTAGGATTTTAATATGTGTCTGTATACGTAAACAACGTGATTTGCAAACGCGGTTACACTTGCGCAAACATCACTGTCAATATTAACAGCTGGGCCGGGAACAATATTAAATATATAATTTCGTGCGCGCGCGTGTACATCTACCACGAATCCCCCTTTCGTTCAACGTAAAACGGAAAAGGAGTATTAATAATTAGATCCAACACACGCGCGATATTTTTCGTCAAAGAATTTGGCTCCGAGTAATTTCTCTTTAATAATCCTGACGCGTGCTCAATTTTCATCGTGGACGGGAAAACTAGCTTTTCCCTCTTAGGCATCGAGGGAATTTTGTTCTACCTTTTTTTTTCCCTTCGTAAATTTACTTCGTAATTAATAAAAAGAGAGAATTAATTAAACGTAATTAAAGTCGTCTTTTTTTTTTTTACGTTTTCGAGTAATTCGATAATTATAAACGCTACCAGATTCTCCTAGTTTTTCCGAATTTTAAAACTTAATTGAAAACGCGATGGAAGCAAGGAGAGGAATAAAAATTTTCTTTTCCCGAAATTTGACGATACGCTCGAAGTGTAAAATTAATTACGAAACGTCGGAAAATATAATCATCGATCGTATATTTGTTGAAAACATTGTTAATAAAATAATCTTTGTTGAATCAATCTTCGTTCGAGGTTCTTTAATATTAATTACGCTCGTACGAAAACAACGATTAAAGTAGAAGGCAAATATCACTTGTTATTTGAAATAATATAATAATTGTAACTCGTTCGTTTTATTTTCGACGAAACAAATTTCATTGGAAACGACAACTTTCGATGTTATTTGTCGGCGACAAATCTACGTAATAATAAAAGGAAAATATCGAAATTTCGAGCGTTTGCAAAAAGTGTGTTCGCGCGTATAACTTCCGATTCGTGACCGTGGGGATGTTTGCGTCGCTTTAATAGCAGCGCATTAAAAAGGCACTTCGTGAAATTGTCAGAAAGCAGAACGCATTACGATCGCAGATACACGCGTAAAAGAAGTAAATTATTATCATCGAAGCGATATGATCGAGGATGTTTCTACGTAAAAAAAAAAAAAAAAAAAGAAAAATGAACTCACGTCGCTAAAAGCCACGTATGTTTTTATACGTACATTCCTTCCACTCGACAAGTTTACGACTCGAATACAACGTCGATTATGTATCGACGAATTTGTCAGAGAAACGTATCAACATTTTAGAATCTTCTCTAATTAGATTCTTAGTGGAAAAAGGGGGGAGAAAAAAGTTGGTCGTCGAAAATTAGTGCGATTAATTAATTTCTCGCAAGTCTCGACTATTCGTGGCGCAGTAAGCAAGAAGTTTGAAGCGATTAAAGTTGACTAACGTAAGTGTATCAAACGGTCGAAAGACCACCGTTGCGAACGTTTCAAGGCGATTAAACGACCGCGTAATTACGCGTTCAATGAGAACAGAGCGTTATCCAGGATGTGGCGAGGGTACTCGAGTTAGAACGCTTCCTCGAATGCAAATTACGCGATCCAGTGACAGTGTACCGACTCCACGCTCGGAAACAAAAAGCGCGAACAGCACGGAATTTCGTTCGCGTACTGTTTCACCACTGCCACGACCCAATTTCAC